CTTCCCCGCACCCCCACCCCGAGCCACTAGCAGCTCTGTCCTGCACACCGCCATGGCTGGGCAGTGCCTATTGGTGCCCTTTGCTTCAGTGCCTGGGGCGGTTGCCCTGCTTGCTCCCCCACCTCCTTGCTCTGGTGCTCTGTGGTTGTACTGCCCAACCCTAGCCCCAGCCTTGGCATGGTCCACAACAGCATTTATAGTGAAACTCTTACTCTGTCCTATTGGGCCGTGGGCTTTGGACAAGTCCACTGCAGACAGAATCTCTGAAGACTTCACCCTCCCTACTTACTTTTTTATGTAAAGTGGGACAGAATCAATAGCAACAACCAAAAATCAAAACAAATACTGCTCATGTTACTATATTCTTTAGTGTGTTGATGATTATTCCCTTTGTGCTGGCTCAATGTGAGTCTGTTGTGTCACAAAGAATCAAGAGCAGAAGAAAGAGGACACAGAACATATATTAAAAGATTCAAGCTGTTAGCCTGGCCAGCAGGTTAAGGTCAGACAGCTTTTCTTACCCAACCTACAATATTTGATGCAGGAATTAGAATTAGGAAATACAGTGGAGTCGCGTCTTACATGGGGGTTAGGTTCTAAAGTCAGCGCGTAAAGCGAAAATCGCATATAGTCAAAATTACCCTTGGGCTTGCCCAGTGGTACAGTCTGCTCCCCCACCATCCAGTGGTACAGTCACTCCTTCCCACCCAGGACAGCCTGCACCAAACTCCCACCCAGCCAGCATGCACAGCTTCCCAGCAGGGCTGCTCCCAATGTAGCTGCTTGGCCCCGTGCACAGCGCTGTCGGGGGGCAGCTGCAGGCTGAATCCAAACAATCGGCACTCCGGGGCATACATGTATGATGAATTTGCATAAGTTAAATGTGTGTATGCTGCGACTCCACTGTATAGGAAGTTGATAGAATTGCAATTATTGCAAAAGTTTACAATAAGGGAAGAGGTTTCTGGTATACCACCATATTCCTTAACAGAGTTTCAGAGAAAATCTTAAGCTTGCCACATCTTCACATTTAACAGAGGCATGTTTTCTCTCTCAAACACTCATTGAAAGCTACGCCATATTACAGAATACCTATACAACATATTACTATTATAGGCATGTACCCACAAAGCTACAGTATACTCATGTACTCACACACTGTATTACCATTATTTACCTGGCATATAACACAACACTAGGCCCTTGTTTTTAAAGATGATATTGCTCTAGATGAAACAAAATGTGCCTCATCCAAAAAAAAGAGGAAAAACAGCTGTTTAGAACTGACAAGACAGTCTTCTTTAAACTGGCATTGAGAATACAGGCACAGCTTTAACATGAATAAGTGTGGGTCTTGCTTTATCTGGCACCCCACACTCAATGAAAACTGTAGTAACTCTCCTTAAGTAACTCTCCTTACAGTGCTAGATTAGAGAAAAAAAATGAAGCACATCTGGGCCACAGCCACCACTACTCCGTGCTCTGTGCCCAGGGCTGTATGTGCCCTGGGCTAGAAGGGGTCTAGAGCTGTAACTGGTGGTAAGCATTGGGGGGCAGAGGCTGCAGGGTGGGGTTAAGAGGCAGGCACAGGCAGACCTGGTGGCACTGCAGCAGGCACCACAGGGGACCAGGTGTCAGATACGCATGGGGGTATGGGGCAGTAAGAACAGGTGTTGGGCAGGAAGCAGAGAAATAGGCAGTCAGGCTGCTGCTCACCTTCCCCACCGCAGCTTGTCCTCCTGCCACTGCTTCCCCAGCTGTAGCTGTGAGGGGAAAGGGGATGTATTCAATATGACCCTACAAT